TTATGACTTTTTTGGCTTTAGTGTTTTCTTTGACTGACAAATCTATTTCTTCAATCATATCTTCACGAGCAGAGACTCTCTCTTCCTCTCTTACATTCTGTTGGTTATGATTACACCTGTAGTTCTTCTTCATTTACTCAGATTTTTCACTTCCAGCATTCTCTGAGTTTGAATCTTCTTTATTGTCTCTATTTCAGTTTTCAAATATTGAAGTGTTTCTTTTACCTGTTTGTTTTTTTTTCTTGGGTTTCTTTGACACATAACATCAGTTAAGTCCCTTGTTTCTCTGTTAAGTTTCATTCTGGCAGATCTGTCCAGTGGTGAGAGTGGGGATTCATTGATTTCTACTAATTCATTGTCTGTCTTTTCCTCGAAATTTTTAAGGTAATTTTTCATTTCATCTCTAAAGGCCTCTATCATCTTCTTAATGTCATTTTTAAGGTCAATATCTTCTGCTTCTTCTGTGTTGGGATGTTCAGGTCTTGCTGATGTAGAACCGCTGGTTCTAATGGTGCCATATTGGTCTTTATGTTGTTGACTGTATATTTTCACTGGCATCTACTCAACTTTTCCTCCACTCAGTGGAAGTGGTATCTGTGACTGAGGGAGCCTCTCTTGGTCTGATCAATACTCTTGGTCCAATGGGAGCTCTTGGTATAATCAGGGATCTTGTTCCAATTGGTTCTGATGGACTCTATGTCTGTGAGAGCAGCTCTTAGTCTGGTGGCCTCTGTCCCAGGGAGCAGCTGCAGTCTCAGAGGGTGGGTGGCTTTGGGGGGGTGGGGCCTGTAGGTTACAGGGTCTGCTGGGGGTTGGGGGTATTCCAACCTGTCTGGAGGAGATGTGTCTGCTATCCTGAAACTGGGACTGCAATGGGTGATGGTGTGGGGGTGCGGGGTTGTGTTCCTGGGCCCAAAGCCTAGAGGCTGGTATGTTTATCTATGAGAACAAAGACTCACCACTTAGTCCATTCAGCTGGTGGGCTCTCCGGAATATACTTTCTTGATGACAATCCTGCATCTTTCTCTTAGGAGGCTCATTGGTACGCCCGGCCAGTAAGGACCTAGGCCATCACGTCCTAGGACCTCTGACCCTCTGGGTCAAGTCCATTACTGGACCCCCACCATTGGAGCTCATTTGTAGAAGGAGGAGATTTCACAAGTCTCTGAGCTATCCCCCCTTATTTCTTGAGGTGAGTGGGATACTTGAATTATCATCTCTACCATGGCCCCTACCTCTGACTCATGTCTAGACAGCTCTAGGTTTCTGCAGTTGCAGATGCTGGAGGCAGGATGATAGAGACCTCACAGCAGTGGGAGGGGACCGGAGAAGACTTGGAAGGAAGATGGTTCTACAGTCACAGACCCCACTCATACAAGGAGTGCTTCCTATGCTATGCATGGGGAGAAGACTTGGGATGGACCAAGAGGAGTGGAAGTCAAGGATGAGGGCCAAAGATCATGTGCTTAAGGGGGTGGTGGCCTGAGATGCCACCACTAAGGAGGCTCACGATAATTTACTGTTTAGAGATGAGCCTGGGAAACATAAGATGTCCCAGGCTGGCCTGGACCCTCCGCAGTGGAGGACAAGGAATGCTGAGGAGATGGCTTATTGGGTAAGACCTTGCCAGCCAGCAAAGGATCTGAATTTGAGGCCCAACAATACAGGGAAAATTGAGGGAGGAGCATAGGTCATACTCAAGGGCTTTCTGTGAGCCCCTGGGAGGCAGAGCTGATACAAAGAGTCCAGAAATTCATAGGGCAGCAGGCTGGGGGAGCACAATGGAGAAAAGGCACAGTTTCAAAAAGGTGGAAGGCTAGGACCACATCCTGTGATGCCTGGTTCCCTCCAAATACTTGCAAGAGACATGTTGAGCCTGCTCACAGGCCAGTGTGTGTGTGTCCAGTCTACAGGAGACACAGAGGGAAGTGCAAACAGTGACATGAAGCAGAGTAAGTGGACATTCTGAAGGAGAGCCTCTAATGGCACTTCATGGTTTTATAAATCACGTCGGATGGCTCACTGTAGGGACTCACTGTCTCACCAAGGAGGACTTTCAACTGCTCTGTCAGCTGCCTCCATCCTTGGGAGAGCCAGGATCACTGGCCTGAGTTATCACGTGGCTTTCGGGGGTGATGAGGGAACCGATGGCTTCCTGCATGGGAGACTGGCACTCAGCCAACTGAATTTATTCCTTATTAACCATACGCATGCCTTTATTAAACGTATTTGTATCACATGGATTGTGTGACTTGTACACCCAGCCACGGTATACCATCACACACGGGCATGGGTCTGAGGACAACTTGTGGGTGTCATTTCTCTCCTCCCATGTGGGTCCTGAGATCTGGATAGTTCACTCCAGTCCTCGGACTGGCACATAGGCCTGTGTCCACTGAACCCCTCAACCATCCCTAATTTACTCTCTTAATGACAGTCTCCCTTCTTTGCTCTTAGGACACTCACCAGTGTGCCTGGCCAGTAGGGACCTACGAAGACAGGTCCCAGGACCACTGACCCTCTGGGTCAAGTCCACTTCTGGCCCTGCCCCACACCCATTGGAGCTCCCCTGCTGGGAATTCTCCAAAGCCTCTGAAGTTATTCCACCTATTGCTTGAGGTGAGTTAGAAACATGGCTTATCTTCTGTCCTGTTGCCTTGTAGCCCCTGTCTGAGACACCTGCAGGGCACTAGGGTGAAGGTGTAAGGGGTAGAATGTTAAAGACCTTAACAGTCCCTGGCAAGACCTGAAGCATCCTTGGATGGATGTTGCACATATTTTCCCATATCTCACCTAGAGAGGGGATTAATCACGAGAGCCCCTGGTTAGATCAAGTGGCCAAAGGAGGAAATGTAGCATGGAGTGGTGTGAGCATGTAATCCCAGTTCTCAGAAAAACAGCCATACTGATTTCCAAAGTGGCTGTATGAGTTTTCTGGTAGAATTTTTGAGGTCACTTAAGCATACTATCATATTTTCTGCAAATAGAGAAAGTTTGACTTCTGCCTTTCTAATTCCTATCCCTTTTATCTCCTTTTGTTGTCTTATTGCTCTAGCTAAATCTTCAAGCATTATATCAAGTAAATACCAGGGGAGTGGAAAGCCTTGTCTTGTTCTTGATTTTAATTTAATTACTTTGAGTTTCTCTCCATTTAATTTGATATTGGCTGTGGGCTTGCTGTAAATTGCCTTTATGTTTAGGTTCTTTGTGTTCCTGATCTCTCTAGGACCTTTATCAAGAAAGGGTGTTGGATTTTGTCAAAGG